AGGTGGGAGCGGAGAGATATAAATATGGACCAGGGCAATATACCGGGGGGTTGGGAGACAATATGGTTGCAAGATCCTTGGACTGGACGCTGGGAACAAGTCAAAGTGGCCAAACAGGAGGCTGAAAATAGAAGAAGAAAGGGACTGCCCCAGTGCCCATCCTATTGGGGTGAGTCAGAGACGCGTGAGTGGCGGCGTCGACTTCGAGAGGAGAAAGAAGCTCCAGAAAGGGAGGAGGTGGCTTGCTGAGCACGGCATATGAAGGAGCTGAGGAAGATGGGGTGTTACCTGGACTGTGGGATACCCAACCGGGAGAGGGATCCCCTCTGTGTGGATGAACAGGGGATGAGGAAACCCTCCCGTTACTGATAACAGAGGGAAATGAAGATGGAACCCAAGAGCCTGAGCCAATCTTGGCAGGACCATGGGAACTTAAGTCTTTGAACCCCTTCGAAACCGACATGTCGTCGCCCTTGCGAGAGCCGTTCATCACAGAAGAGAAGTTCATGAGAAACCTGTTGATGTTACCGTTCCGTTACCAGAGTTAATAAACAGAGACCCTTCTTTTGATTCAAAAATGACTCATGGTTTATTTGGAAACAGGGAGGCCCCACGATCCAAACCCTCACAACATGACATATTACACCATGCCAGGTCCATATTACACCATGTCAGGATTTATTTAACAAAAATAAAGCCAAAATGGAGAAGCCATGTATGAAAAACGAAATATACCCTTACTGCTTTCAGAGGAATTAAGAGGCTAAGTAGCAGCCTGGTGCTGCTAACCAAATGCCCTTGAGTAATTGATCATCAGCAAGTGTGACCACTCTTTTATTTATTTATTTATTTTAGAGCTGCTCAGTCTGGTTCTTTTATTGTGCATAAGCCTTCATCCATCTTTACCTCCATGCTTGCTGTTTGCCATTTTAAAGACTGACTCAAATTTGTTACTCAAACATTTAACCAACTAGGGTAACAAATTAATTTTTAATAAATTATTTCTAGGTTCTGTTCCAGATCTCTTCCATTTAGTGGCATATCATCAGATATATCCAGTCTAATGTCTCATCACCATCTCATACTCAGCCCTTGGTGTCTAAGTTCCCCATCTGATATGCTCATGAATCTGATTAGCACAGAAATGAGCCAGGTTACGTCCATCAAGGTACTTTTGTGTCTGGTCTCTGGGTGTCTGTGAATTTCGTTGTATGGGTATACTGTGTATATACTTACAATGACAATAAATTATTATTATTATTATTATTATTATTATT